CCCCAAAACCCCAAAACCCCAAAACCCCAAAACCCCTAGATCGCAAATATAAATAGATTTAAATTTATTCCTAAATGGTAAGTACCTTTCAAAACATCCTTCCTATTCAAAATCTCAAGTAGCTGAACCTTGGATTAGGACACGATAGATCAGATTAGGACGGTCACCACTGATAGTTTCTTCAATGAGTAATCTTCATTCTAACTCGAATAGCCACTCTTATGATAGCTATGATTTTAAACCTAAACACAATACACATATCAAATCAGTACTGAAGAAATACAAATAAGTATAAATAAATGGGTGATGAATAAACACAGCAACTCCTTTGAAGCCTATTTCCCTCAAAGTGCCTCCTTCGAAGCTACAAACGAGGATGATCTCTTAAATCAGACGATGAATACCTGCTTCCCCAAGAACGGAGGTATTCCGTCATACCTCAGAAGGCCTCAACAACTTAAGGTCATCACTAAAGCAAAGGAGTACATTGCATCAATCTCTAAAAGTAACACTCATCCTTCAGTAGAGCAATTTAATGAAACTTTAAGTAAAATTTACAAAAACAGGAGCATAAGTTCTAAATGTTCACGAAGAAGGAAGTCACACCAATCCGTTCAAAAATCTACAAATTTTAACACAAAGAGGAAGACCAAGACCTCTAACTCTAAGTTACGAAAGCCTAAAGTTAAAGTTAAGGAGAAATCTTATCAAAAAGAAGATCGAAACCAAGAGGCTCTATATAACTACTGATACAAGAAGATTTTTGGAACCAACCAACTCAAAATTGTTGGAAAGTACACAGTCACTAGTGACGAGTAGGTTTTTAATATTTATAATATAGTTACCAAAAGCGGGTACCAAGAACAGCAGCTATCTCAAGACCTGCTCATTTAATTCAGCGTAAACAAGGCTCTTCTTACTTCGAAAACAGAAATCATATTCGTCTCAGAGAACAAACAAAAGCTAGAAATATCATCTCAAAAATAGAACAAAAGGGGGAAATATCAAAGACTTTCTATAATCCAAAAGAAAGAACTGATATACCAAACCTTTAACGTCCCATTTTCAATATTTCATCAGCCTAAAGGGGTTTTGGGGTTTTGGGGTTTTGGGG